GCAGCAGGGATGAATTAGGTCCATTATTTCTGTCTTTACGGGCCATTTCTGTAGCCTCTCCATGTGATTTGTATTAAAACTTGTTTTTTCCTCTTGGTATTTCTCATTGTGATGTTTTTTATTGTTGGGGTTTTTTTTGCTTAAGCTTTTCATCTACGCTGAAATTCATGGACTCTGTACTTCAAAGGAATTAAGCAGGGCTTGGAAAATACCTTGAAAATTTGAGGGGCTGGCCCTGCCAGAGTATTGCAGAGTCTACTACCAATAAATGGAGTTAATGGGGTCAAACGTTATGTTTACATTTTGCCAGACACACATAGCCCTAATACTTCCTCACACTAATTAGAATTCATTGGATCACAGAGAATGCAAGAGATTTGATATAGCAACATATATTAAGATTTTGTTTGGAAGAGTAAGGAAACGGCCAGCAGGATATTGTGTGGCTCTTTCACATTTAAATTTTTTAAACAGAAATTAATGATCACTCAAAATTCTTACTGGCAATAATAAGAAAAAACTGAATTTTGTAGAGAGATTTCTATAAAATATATCCCAAGTTATAAAGCAAGAAAAATAGTATGTACACTGAAAAGTCCTCTGAAACTGAGCTGAACCTTGCAGATCTTTCTGTACAGTACTTGCAGTCCTGAGCTCTTGCAGTGCCCAAACAAGCTCCCTCATGACTCCTAGCATTGAAGCATGTTCCCTTCTATGGGTTTTTTTTTTCACATCAGAGAGCAATCCTCATGGTTGTTCTGCTGCTGGTATCAGTGTGTAAACCAGCAGGTGTGACTTGCATGGAGTCATGTCCTTCCAGTACTGTGCAGAATGTGTCGAGGAGCTGGGTACCTCTTAGGGTAAGCTAGAGCCTTGGTTTCAAACTCATCATGATGTTGATAGCATTCATCACAGACCCCTTTTCTGACAACGTGCCAACCCCTACACCTCACCTGCTTTCTGGAGTCTGTGAGGGAAAGCAGAGAGATTGGATCTGCTTCTTTCATTCCTCAAAATCATTTACTTCCAATTTGGCAGAAGACTGTTTACAGTTCTGTAAGTCAGAATGCCACATCTTCTTGGAAGTGCAAATACTGCTTTGTTAAAGTTTCTTCTCCTGTAGAGAGCTGCTTAGTTAGCAACTGTTGCTCTGTGTAAGGGTTGGTTACCCTCTGAAATTCCACAACAGCATAAGCTGATCAGTGCTGTTATGGTCCCAGTTTGGTACTAACTCTGGCGGCCATGTAGTCCTAAGCAGTTCAGAGTTGGGTCAGCTGAATGCAAACCCCTTAAAAAAAAATGTTTTGTCTAGTCAAAACTGGTCTTGCTGCACTGAACTATCATCACTGCATGAGTACAGGTACCTGTGACAGAAGGGAGATGAAATGTCAGGCTGCAGAAGGTGGGTCCCTGCAGCTCTGGCTCTAGGTGAGCTTTACCTGACCAGAAACTGCACCTTCTGGTTGTCCATTTCATTGCCAGACATGTTCGTCCATTGAAATTTGTATTTTGCCTCACCCTGGTCGTTAACAGACATGCATAATATCAATATCTAACTGGGAAAAATGCTTCCTGTACTTCATTTTGACTGTGAACAGACCTGTCCCTAATCAGTCACTTGAGTTTCATCTCAAAACCTGTTCTTACAGAGATACCATACTACCTTCTAAATAGTTGCCCTTCCTAAACCCACATTAGTGTGTTTAGAGGAAGTTGGAACAGAACCTGGAGTTTACAATGGGAAGATATCCCAATATTAGTGTCAGAACTGTTGTGACTTCTTTTTCCGTTATGTTTGCTGCTAATACACTTTGCTGTAAATTCTTACAGAGAGTTAACAGCCTCCTCTCGCTGTAACCAAAGAATAACCGTTAGTGATCAGCCTGCAGACTTCCAGTTGCATACCATCTGCTGATACAGATGTACACAGCCTCCTGAGGCTCGGTTCTGACTGAGACTACTGGCATTTTCTTTAAGATATTTGTGAAAAAAAACATTCCTTTTGTGTTGCTGTAAGTCTTCAAATTTCAGATTGCTGCAATAGGGCATTTAGAGATAACAATGCTTATGAGGCTTTACTTCTGAGTATGCAGAAGGAATTCTGGGGGTTCCATTGGCAATAAGTCCAAGAGCCACAAAGCACACTGACATCTACCAGCAGATCCACCTGACATCAGCTGCTGCTTATACAGTGGTACAGTAAAAATCCAAGGATTGTTAATGTCTGTCTGATAGTAGTTTATGAGATTCATGGGTCCCCACTGAATGCTGGGCAGGCAAGCCCCCAAACATTGCAGCAATTTGTAGCCCCAAAACCATGCTGCATGCCAGTGACTGCCCTTTGCTTGCACACTGAGTGAGGAGAACAGGAATCAGAAGGAACTAATACTTAGCTTAGCCTGCCAAATGCCATGGGTGATGAAGGCACATTGGCAAGGTAGGCTTCAGGACTACTGAACTGCTTCAGCCAGCACTATAGATATTTTGTGAATAGCTTTGTCTCCAAGCTCACCCATTTACTGTTAACTGTCAAAAAGATGTCAGTGAGAACAGCCTTTCCCAGCATCCTGCAACACAGACTTTGACTCTCATGCAGTTATCAGAGGTGATGAACACTAAACGTTTCTCTTCTTTTGCTCTTCTGAAGCAAACCTGTGCTTTGGAAGTTGACAAAATTGCTACGTAAATGGAGAAAACTTCTGGAGGTTATATCCTGAAAGCAGCATGACTTCCATTCCTGTTGTGTTCATGGTATTGAGCAGCTATTACTCTTTCCTTGGTCAAAGTCAAGTACTGAATCTTTGATTCCAAACACTTAAGGATTTTCTTGATTGGTTCCTATTTTGCAATTGGGCTGGATGCTTTACAAATATTTCCATTTTCCCATCCCCTTTTTCTCAAGGGAGAAAAAAATCTGGTGTTAAAATCCAGTGTTACAGAATGGAAGACCTTTATATGGGGAAAGACTGTGAGGGTAGGAATCCTCAGCCTGGAGAAACAGAGGTCTTAAGAGACATAGAGGTCAGAAGAATTACGAGTGTTGTGGAGGGGATGGATAGAAGGTTCAGATAAAAGTTTTCAGATGAAACCACACGACGCATTGTTATGGTGAGCAGCTCTTTGCCACAGCATGTCATGGATGCCCGAAGTTCATGGGAGTCCAAGGGTAAATAAGCAGACATTGTCTCTGCCTTGGGAAGTCCCTCCAGACAGCAGGAGAGGATTCAGGGAGTGTATTGTTACAGGTTCTCTGGGGGTCAGTATTTCTCCTTGGGCATCCAGTTTTGGCCACAGCTGGAGGCAGAGCACTGGGCTAGACAGACCCTATGTCTGACCCATCAGAGAGACTCGTACATTTTCACGTTCTCAAGTGTCCCAGCGCTTGCTTCACAGCTTTAAACATTTCCCATCAGCCCTCAAAGTGCTTTCCCCAGGACAAACTCTGTGCCTTTTAATACAGAGCGAGACATTTCATTGTCATGTAGTATTTAATAAGTGAGGAAAAATATATTGAAAAATTCAAGAAAGCAACCTTTTAATGGATGGCATGCACAAAGTGCACCTGTAATCTGCACTTTCAACAAAGAGTAAACTCATCTAATAATAATCTTTTGAAACAGAGGTGTGGATACCAAAACACAGCATTTCCAAGTCTCTTTAATGACCAACTTTATAAAAAAAGCCTTCTCACAAAGAGTAGGGGAAGTCTGGGATGCTGAAAGGAAAAAGGAGCATGTATTCATGAGTTTAAATGGGAAGAATTTCCCTTTGTACTGGACACTGATAAAAAGTTAGTCATGCAGAAATTATCGTGTCTTCAATACTGTTTGTGAAGTTACTGTATTTCTTCACTCTAAATAATCACACCCACTGAAGAGAGCATGTGGAAATATTTTGCCCGGCCGCTGCAGAGGGGTTTTGCTCTGCATGTCAGTAGAGTTCGCAATGACACCCATCCCGTTTTCTGACATTTCCATGCATTCCGTGCCTGCTTCTGAAAGGTGTGGGGCTCTTGGCTCTGGCAGTTAAAAGCGTTACAGGTGCCGTGCCACGACGGCCTGTGTTTTGCTCGTGAAGCAGGTGGCGTGTCATGACAGCAACATTCGCGTCCAGCAAGAGCAGGGAAGTGCACGTGCCCCTGCACTCGGCACTGGCGAGGCCGCAGCTCGAGTACGGGGTTCCGTGTTGGGCACCACGGTGTAAGGACACTGAGGCCGGAGTGAGTCCAGAGATGGGCCACAAAGCCGGTGAGGGGCCTGGGGAACACGAGGTATGAGGAGCGGCTGAGGGAACTGGG